GAATGGATCAGAGGAGTGTCAAAAGCATGTGGATGTGATTGGTATAATACAGGGTGCCAATAGCAGGGCATACAACAGAGGGGGTCTTCACTGAAAGTCAGGTAGTTCTTAGAGCAGGTATGAAGTTAAAGCTGGGTTCTGAATCCTTCTCTGAGGTGAATAACACCAGCTCTGGCAACAGTCAGTATTCCACCTCCCTGTCAACCCATGAATTTTGTGTTCCATACTTGAGATCTAGTTTTGATTATCTCTAATAATGCCTCATTGTCATGAAGTTGAAATTTGAATTTTTTTAAAACATGGATTGAACTCATGACTTATGCTTTCCAGGGAGGCATTCATGCCACTTAGCTAAATACTCAGCTATGAAAGTGTTTACTGTATAGTATGGAAGATATCCACATTGTTCCTCAGAAAGTGTTGAATATTGTTAGAATTTTTCTCTATTGTATGGCTATAATTTTTAAAAACCAACCAAAGGTGTCTTATGCAGTCTCTTTTCAAGTTTCACTTTGTCTGTGGGGTGTCTCAGTCAGAGTTTCTCTATTTTAGACAGCTCTATAACTCAGGATAGCCCCAAATTCAAGGAAGAACTCTTTCACCAGCCTCCCAAGATATATTTCTTATACCTGAATGGAAATTGGTTGCTTGGTGACAGTGAGGTATAATTTATAGCTTGGGCCTGGTTTCATTTTATAAACTTTTTTTTTAAATACAGCTGTTTTCCACTAACATTTGAGTTATTATTTACCACATTTGATGCTATTTGTGTTTTGTTCTATGAAACCAAATTCATATTTCAAAATACTATTTAAGTATGTTAAGAACAAAGTACTCAGTGGCTTAAATGAGATTTGAAGAGACATCATCTGTAGTCTATCAAAGTGATTGAAGAAATTTCTTTTAATTGTGAAAGTGGTAAAATACAACAGAATAAGACAGAATAAGGCCAATGAAGATTGTACAGTGAAATTGGTACAGAACTTCACAGCATGTTACTGGGATAACAGTAATAGGTATCAGTATATTTTGTTATCTTTGTCATAGTTGTTCTTTCAATCACATATATCAAAATGAGATGAAATATAGAACATTATGGAACTCATCAAAAGACAATATTGAATAGATCAGTGACATTAATCAGAATGAAGCAAAACAGTTATAACAATATTTGCTACAGTAATAACAATATCAAAGAGATAGTAGAAGAAAGTCCCTCTTATTTGATATGGTCAACTTCCCAGGAGACACTCAGATTTCTGGTTCCTATTTGTTAACAGGGGGGGGGTGGTTAGGAGAAGAGGGGTAGGGGAATTGGAATGGTTGATTCTGGGCTGTGCATCAGTAGGTTCACTATTGCTTAGCAGTGAGGCAGGCTGATTGGTTTCACAGCATTCTAAGTTCCATCATGGTGCAGATCTCAGGAGCTACTGTTGGTTCTTCTCTGGAAGGCCCATAGTCTGTCACACTGCCATTGCATACCAGAGAGGGGTAGTGCTTGCTTGGCTTCCCAGCATCCTAAGTTCCAACATGGTGTGGATCTCAGGAGTGCTGCTGGTTCTCCCTCTGGAAGGACCACAGTTTGGTAGACTGCCACTGCTTACCAGGGAGGAGAGGTGCTTCCTTGGCTTCCCAGTGTCCCAAGTAGCAACATGGCATGGATCTCAGGAGGCTGCAGTCTGCCAGACTGCCACCACTTACCAGGGAGGGGATGTGCTTGCTTGGCTTCCCAGTTGATTGATGAGATATTTATCTGTCTCTGTGCTTTGGAGATGCTGGTCCTACAGGCTTCTCACTGTGAGCTCTGCTTTAGAGACAGTACACAAGGAATCTTGCAGACACAGCACAAGAATCAGTGCTCCTATTTGGCTGTTACATTAGCAATGAGTTGCAATATAGCATCAAATTTGCTGTCTCCAAAAATGTGTATATATACAAAATTAATGACCACGACATGGATTTAAGATATGAAGAAATCAGTCTCAATTCAGCTTTTTGGTTTGGTCTTATTTGTTTAGTTTAGTTTTGGTTTTTGAGACAAGCTTTCTGTATATATATATCAGCTGAATTTTAACACCCAATGGAGCCTATAATTGCCCTGACCTCACCAAAGATGTCCTCTTAGCCTTTTGAGTGCTGGGATTATAGATATATACCACCACACTTTGCTTTTGATTCAGATTTGTAGGAGACAACTTAAGATATCCCAGACCTGGGGTCTCAACCATCCTTTGATAAATATATGTATGATCCTTTAGGAGGTGGTGACCTTTGAAGATGTGGCTGTGAACTTCAGCAGTGAGGAGTGGGCTTTGCTGAGTCCATCTCAAAAGAACCTCTACAGAGATGTGATGGAGGAAACCTGTAGGAATATGACTGTGATAGGTAAAGATGTCATTTTTTTTGTCACTCATGCTATCAGAATATTTTTTGCTGCTCATCAGTGCTGTTTCATTAAAAAGAATGTGAAAATATTTTGAAAAATAGTTCAGACCTGGTCACATTATATCATAAATCTAATCAAAATCTATTAATTTGTATGTATTACTCTAATGAGTCCTGGTATTTTTATGTCCACAATTCAGGAGGACTTGGGGATATCCAGGAAGCTGAAAAAGGATGCAAAATTTACTGGAGATACTTAAGGTAATTTGCACTCACAAGGAGAAGGGATGTTCCTGAGTAATTAGTGAGTGAGCAGAAAAATGACAGATAAAGAAATGAGGCACCATTCAATTCAATGTCAGTAATATTCTTCGAAGATGTATAAGCTGGGGCATGTATAATGAGGGAATTAAATATGAAAATGCATGACATTGCATATAGATGTGTATGAGTGGCATACACTTTGAGTTATGACATTCTGCCTTCACTTTTTCTACCCATATATACATGTGATTACAACATATTCATTATCTAAAAACTGCTAAGATTGCAATACAATTTGAAATAAAACTGAGTGCTCATGTTTCCAAGCCATGCTCTAGAGAATCAGCCCTTCTGATTCAAATTTTTAGTGGGCTGGTGGAATGTTAAGTGCACTCATTCTGAATATCAGTATGCAGTTGTCTTTAGAAGTTGATCCCCTCATACTTTTCCAGGGTATATTTTTAAAATCTCAAAATCCACATAAAATACAGATACATGCTTACTCATATGCAAAGCAGATCAAGTTATAAGAGATCAGGCCTTACATCAGCTTAGCTATCTATCACTGGATTTGTGGAGAAGTAAAATGTTAATAGACTATGTGATTGTGCATTCTTGTAACCCCAGCACACTAGGAATCAGATTTTGCGGAATGCCAAATTTAAGTTCAAACTTCACAGCTTAATGATCATTGAAAATCTCTTAAAATAAATCAAAAAGCTAGAGATTTTATGCTAATATTTGTTGTTTTTTCCCAGCATGGTAAAGAAAAAATGTGTTACATAATGTCAAAAAATAAATAATATAATACCCTTTGCCAAAAGACATAGGTGTGTTTTTCTCCCATCAATTCAATGAAATAGCTCAGCTATGAAACCTAAAAGGTCACAGGGTGTCTCTTAGATGAGAACCCAAAATATAAATTGTGGAATGAAATGAAAGTTGATAGAGAAAGGTAAGACTGACCATTTGGAAAAGGGAATTACAGGTTAAGGACAGAAGGGAGATTGTAATGGGGAAACATATCTGAATGATCTGCATGTCATACACATATGTACCCATGCCCAAAGTGAAGCTAAACATTCTGCATTTCAAAAGGTACCAACATTTTTTTTTGTCTTTGTCCTTTTTATCGGTACCAGAGATCGAACTTACAACTGCCTGCTTGCAAGGCAGGCGCTTATGCCGCTAAGCTAAATACCCAGCCCCAAAGTTACCAACTTTTAAGATTCCCAAATGTGTATGAGACTTTTGGGAATGGTTGTTTTCAACAGGCATTCTGCTACTTCATTGTCAGAATTTCTTTGCAGGCATTAAAAACAGAACTTGACATTAATGCAGTCATTAACACAGAGACCCATTTCACTGTGATTATTTCCCTTTTTTTAAAATTTTATGTAAGGAAAGACTAACCAAAACAAAATAAGTAGAAATAATACTACTTTCAAAGTGAAAATAAACAGTAAGAAATCACAAGTTGAGGATTATACATGGTGCTCATAGAAAGAGATAATCAAGATACAAAAGTGAATCACATGAAGTGAGGATTCAAACAGTGAGATTGCAAACAGTTTTGTTCAGCTCTCCAAAAAAATCTTAGTAATATGGTTGTCAATACTATATGTGATTTATCTCTTTACAGAAATAACACGTTAGGGAAATCCTATGGACATACATCTTGGAATCAGTGTAAAGGATTCCTTTGTACTGCAGAAGGTAATGTGGATGTGAAAGAAACAGACCACAGTGTTCAGATCCCTAAAAAATATTGCAGTGGAGGGAAACGCTATGTATGTAAGCAATGCAAGAAAGGTTTTACCACACATAGAATTTGTAAGAAACATGAAAGAATTCACAGAGAAGAGAGACCCTACATATGTAAGCAATGTGGTAAAGCTTTTACAACAAGTACATATTGTCAAGTACATGAAAGGCTTCACTCTGGAGAAAAACGTTATAAATGTAAGCACTGTGAGAAAGCTTTCAGCACACGTACTTATTGTGTAATCCATGAAAAACTTCACAATGGGCAGACATTGTATATATGTAAGCAACTTGGGAAAGCTTTTAACACATGTGAATATTTTAAAAATCATGAAAGAATTCACATTGGAGAGAAACCCTACATATGTAAGCAATGTGGGAAAGCTTTTACCACACGTGCATATTGTAAGATTCATGAAAGAATTCACACTGGTGAGAAACACTATGTCTGTAAGCAATGTGGAAAAGCTTTCAACACACATGCATATTGTAAGGATCATGAAAGAATTCACACTGGAGAGAAACCCTATGTATGTAAACAATGTGGGAAAGGTTTCAGCCAATCTGGAAATTGTAAGGAACATGAAAGAATTCACACTGGAGAGAAACCCTATGTATGTAAGCAATGTGGGAAAACATTTACCAAACATAGACATTGTAAAGAGCATGAAAGAATTCACACTGGAGAGAAACCCTACATATGTAAGCAATGTGGGAAAGCTTTTACCCATCGTGGAAATTGTAAGAAACATGAAAGAATTCACACAGGAGAGAAACCCTATGTATGTAAACAATGTGGGAAAGGTTTCAGCCAATCTGGAAGTTGTAAGGAACATGAAAGAATTCACACTGGAGAGAAACCCTATGTATGTAAGCAATGTGGTAAAACATTTACCAAACATAGACATTGTAAAGAGCATGAAAGAATTCACACTGGAGAGAAACCCTACGTATGTAAGCAATGTGGGAAAGCTTTTACCACACGTGCATATTGTAAGATACATGAAAGAATTCACACTGGAGAGAAACCCTATGTATGTAGGCAATGTGGGAAAGCTTTTAACACGCATGCATATTGTAAATATCATGAAAGAGTTCACACTGGAGAGAAACCCTATGTATGTAAGCAATGTGGGAAAGCTTTTACCAGACGTGAATATTGTAAGATACATGAAAGAATTCACACAGGAGAGAAACCCTATGTATGTGAGCAATGTGGAAAAGGTTTCAGCCAACCTGGAAGTTGTAAGGAACATGAAAGAATTCACACTGGAGAGAAACCCTATGTATGTAAGCAATGTGGGAAAGCATTTACCAAACATGGACATTGTAAGGAACATGAAAGAATTCACATTGGAGAGAAACCCTATACATGTAAGCAATGTGGGAAAGCTTTTACCACACGTGTATATTGTAAGAAACATGAAGGAATTCACACGAGAGAAACCTTATGTAAGTAAGCAATGTGGAAAAGCTTTTAACTCACATGGAGTTTGTAAGCAACATGAAAAATTTCACACAGGAGAAAAACCCTATGTATGTAAGCAATGTGGAAAAGTTTTTAAACCACATGGAGTTTGTAAGCAACACAAAAAAATTCACACTGGAGAGAAACCCTATGAATGTAAGCAATGTGAGAAAGCATTTACCACACATGGACATTGTAAGGAACATGAAAGTATTCATACTGGAGAGAAATGCTATGTATGTAAGCAATGTGGAAAAGCTTTTACCACACACAGAGTTTGTAAACAGCATGAAAAAATTCACACTGGAGAGAAACCCTATGTAAGTAATGTGGGAAAGTTTTTACCCAGCATGGACATTGTAAGCATCATGAAAGTTCACACTCAAGATAAACCCAGTGTATATAAGCATCGTGAGAATGGTTTGAGCACACGTACATATTGCATAATGCATGGAAATCTTCACACTGGGCAGAAAACTTATATTATGTAAGGAATGTGGGAAAGGTTTCAGCAGAAATGCTCATTGTCCAATACATGAAAGAATTGACACTTTTGAGAATCCGTATGTATGTAAAGAATGTGGGAAAGCTTTCACCACATATGGATATTCTAAAATACGTCTAAGACTTCACACTGGGGAGAAATCCTATGTATATAACAATGTGGCAAAGCTTTTACCACATACAGTCATTGCAAAACACATAAAAGAATTTGCACTGGGAAGAACTACTGGCTATGTAAGCAAGTGGAGACTCATTCAGCAGCCATAGTGTAAGTGAAATACACGAAGAAACTCACACTAGAGATAAATCCTATGTGTTATGGGAATCCTCTCAACACCCATCATAATTGTTACATATCTGAAAGAGCTCACTGGCCTGAGATCCTCTTTGGATTTGCAATGTGAGAAATACAGCAATCCATATTTGTTGTTAAATACATAGAAAAAGTGTCCCTGGTCCAACAGTTTAGATCTAAGTTTACTTAAATATCCCCAGGAGACATGAAGAAATAATACAGAAGTTTGATGTCAACATTTCTTCACAAATTTTTCATAAATGACAAATCTGAGGTGGGGCTCTCCTCTAGTGCACATGTTGTATGGTTTTCTGTTAATCACTTGTACCTCTCTAGATATTTTAAAGTGTCCTTGTGCTTCAACATGGCATCTTGTAATTAAACATGGTAAACTGAAATGTGCTTTTCACTTTCAAGTATGGAAAGTGACTGTTATAGTCAAGGATTGTGCACAGAGAACAATTGGATTGACAGGAGTTTATAATATTATTTTTGTAATACTCACCAGGAGTTAACACAGGAAAATGCAGGAAGTGTATCTGCAACACCAAAGACATGGATTATTTATTCAAGAGACTAACTCCCACAGCAGCATCCCACAGGATTCCAGATAAAAATCCAGAGCTCAGGACAATACCTCTTATGAGTCCTACCGGAGGTCCAGAGCCCACAAGAAGGACTCATGGAGTCTCTTTTATGGATCCATTCTAGGAGGACCCAAGGGTCAGTGGTGGAAGCTAGAAAGTCTATGCCAGACTTCCAGGAGAACGTGGCAGATAAATAACAGCAGTTACGAAGGTTCTCTGATATACCCAGCTTAGAATCTAGGAATGGTGCATTGTGAGGACTCCTAAGCAAGGGGAGATATACCCTGCCAACACAGGAAAAAAACTACGCTGAGAGAAACCAACTGGAAATGCAATCCTGGTGCTATAACTGGAACAGATAAAATCACAGCAGGGAAGCTTGAACCCACACCTCTGGAAATCACGATTTGAATTTCCTGCCTCCACTGCTGCTGCATCCCACAGCAGGCAGAGAGATGCACGAAAGCTCTGATAGTGGGAATCAGTGAATGGAGTTGAGAGCAGGACTAGTGGGAGCCCTGCATTGACCTGTGGTGAGTGAAAGGAGTGGGGACCCTTCCATAGACTAGGAGGCTTCAAAAGAGTACATTCCAGGACTTGGCAGGCTAGCCAGAACTGGACATTGCAGTGACTTTAGTCACATATTCCCCTCTCAAGCGGGATTGGTGCAGAGTGTTTGGCCTAGATGACGCCACTGATTAAGACCCTGTAGGCTAACTCAAACCAGGTACCAGTGCCTGGCGGTGCACCCTATCAGTCAAGCCTTCACTAGGTTGTCCTGGAGGGGCAGGCCCAGAGAAGTTTGCCCAGGTCTGTGTTTCCCTAGTACACTGCAGTGGGTGGGAACACCTAGCCAGCAGATTCAAACTGTAATCCACAAAGAAAAAAATTGGGCCTCCTATATATACACTTGTATGGAAGGAACAAAAAGTATGGGAAGAGGGAGCAAGAAGAAAGGGGTTTCAGTCCCCAATCCTGAGAACACTGATCCAAGAAAGGTAAATTCAAAAGAGAATGAGGAGAAAAAACATGCAATATCAGACATGGCACCAATAGACATTAAGTGATATCTCTGGAGCCTCATAGACGAGTTCAAAAGTGAAATATTTAATGAAATAAAGCAACACATAAGTAGAATACTTAAGGGAAATGCTAACCACCACCCAAGAAAAAACAGACAGTAGAATGGAAAAACAGAAAAAAAGGGGAGAATTGCTTGATGGAGAAAGTAGAGAAAACATGGGATACATGAAGAAAATTCACAGAGATTACAAGGAAACTAAAAACTATTGAAAGCTGGCATAACAGCTTGAGAAAACTAAGGATAGGTTATCTGAACTTGAGGGCAGATTTGTAATGCAGGAGCATGAAATGAAATACTTCTTAAAAATAACAAGAAAACAAACAGCAATAATACAAAGGCTAGAAGATGATAAGAGGATCTATAACTTTAGAATTAAGAACATAATAGAAATAGAGACACAAACAAATGAACTACCAAAGCTATTCACAGAAATAATCCAGGAGAATTTCCCTAATTTAGCAAAAGGTAAAGATACTCAGATGTATGAGGCATACAGGACCCCAGCCATCTACAACCCAAACAGAGCTATACCCAGGCATATAATAATCAAAATTACAGAAATCCAATATGAGAACAGAATCTTAAAAGCCATCAGAGACAAGAAACAGCTCACTTACAAAGGAACGCCCATCAGAATTACAGCAGACTTCTCGGTACAAACCATCAAATCATGAAGAGTGTGGGGGGAAATAATTTAAGCTTTGAAAGATAATAACCTCCAGACAAGACTGATATAACCTGCACAACTGTCCCTAGAAATTGATGGAAAAACAAGGTGCTTTTAGGATAAAGAGGAACTAGGGGAATTTGCAACCACCAATTCAACTCTACAGAGGATACTGCAGGATATTCTAAAAAAAGAAAAATACCAAGATTCCAGAAACAGAGGCCACAATGAATGGAGCAGAATGTGAAATGAAGAAGACAAACTGACAACTAATGACATAAAAAGAGCTCCACAGAAACGAGGCAGAAAATGTTGGATGCTTGGAACAGCTATTTTGGAGAAAACAAGACATCATAATAGCTAGTGCTGATTTAATGTCATCTTGTTTTGAAGTCCCATCAAGCTTTTGTTCTTCTGTCTCCATCAGTCTTAATATGTTGTATCTTATTGGGTTTTATTATATGTGATAATATAAACAAAAACTTCTATAGACAAGGAGATTATACACAAACCATAGTTCATTATCTGTTAGTTGATTCTAAATACCCTGTAATACTGTCATTCTCTTGAATGGTTATACATTGTGCTGATATATTTGATGCTACAGTATACGAAGTTATACTCAAAGATCTCAAGGAAATAGACAATATGGTAACTACCTTTATGTTGGGATATCTTGTGGTGAAACACTATTTTGCTTAAATGGTTATGTTTTGACCTGTGCTGTTTTGTTGTTATGCCCTCTTTTATCTCAATCTCCTTTTTTTATTATTTACTTTTTTATTTTTATCTTTTTAATTAAGGGAAAGATAAATAAAAAATAGCAGGATATATTATAGTAATCCACTTTGATTTCCTATTAATTTTATTTGAAACCCTGTATTGCTCTCACCATCTTGTTTTGACTGATTTTCCTCTATTCTGTTTTGCTTGATAGTACCAAGTTATATCTAAAAGTATAGGCAACAACTGTGAAGACTTCATAAGACAGGACTTCATAAGAAGATAATAGTTAACCAGAATAAGACTCATTATGATGCTCATTCTGGTTAACTATTATCTTCTTATGAAGTCCTGTAATGTCTCCAATGTTTTGGTTTTATTGCTTTTGTTCTTTACTCTTTTGTTCAATTTTATTATAACTGATGATATAGGCAATTCTTTTTAAGATAGCAAGAGGCAGTATGGTAACCATTGTTGATCACCTTGTATTTTGTTTTTACATTATGCATTATGTCCATCCTTTTGATTTGACTGACTCTGTTTTGTTATGTCACATTTGATTTTACTCTGTTCAAAAAAAAGTAATAAGCACTGTGGGAGCAATAAAAACCAAAATGTGTAATTGTCATTCTACAAAAGAGAGAAAAAAAATGCTCTAAAGGATATAACAGCATGTATATTTAAATGTATAAGATACATTAACATATTACTGAGTTTTGTTGGATCATTGAACAGAACTGTTTGCAGTCTCACTGTTTGAAAGTCCACTTTATATGCTTTAATTTTGTAACTTGAACAACTATTTCTAAGATGACAATATGTAATCTATTAACTAGTGATTTTCTACTGTTTATTTTTTCTGAAATTCTGTGTATATTGTACTCTTTTTCTGTTTTATTCTTTATCACTTTAAATAAAATTTTTTAAAAATGTAAAAAAAAAAAAAAGAAAGAAAGTCTATGCCAGCAGGATGAAAGAGCTGTGCTAGTGGGATGAGGGTTCTATGCTGTAGCTGAGAAGTCACACAACAAAGAAAAGGGATATCCTGAAAGGCAACATCGCTGTCCTCAGCGACATGGAGGCCACAAGCTCCTTCGATGACAAGCACAGTTGGATACATGCCAGGAAGCAG